TGAGCCTGGGCTTTTCAGCCCCGTCATCCCCCACGTGACTGGGTGGAGCGTGGGCGAGGCATTGGCCGAGCTAAGTGGCTGAGTTTAGGCGTATGTTGCTGGCGCCCAGTGTGCATGCCCAGATTGACCTTCACCTGGGCCTAGGTAACCTGGGTCTGCGCATGCCCTGCTAATTTTCATTTAGGGGAGGCTTTGGGTGGAGAGCACCCCCTTATCCTCTCCCTAAAGTGGTATTGCATGATCTGGTTGAGGGTCCGCTCTCAGCTGGTGCTGCCCTTTCCACAAGCACAACAAGCACACATGCCTCTTTGCTTTACTGCTGCTGTTTCTCTGTCGACAGCAGCCTTTCCCTGCCTTAGCCACTGGACTAGCTACTCTCCTTCAGGAATTGCCCCTATACTGTCTCCCCTTAACAACTTAAAATTTCTGTCTGTGTATAATTCAGAAATGGATGGAAAGAGAAGGACCCTTGTAGGCTACAGTTATAACTGTATGATGATTGTAAGGAGGTATTCTATTGACATGGTGGCGGTATACCTTTTTGGAGGGTCTCAAGTATATGAAGACACTGCCCAACCCCCAAACCAAGCTCACGGCTATAAAGCCCATTCCGACTCTTAGCGGCTCTGTAGGACAGGGTAGAGCTGCCTCCTGGGTGTTCAAGACGAAATCTCTAGAGGAGTAGACCGCCTGCCCTTTCTCCCGAGGAAGGACTGGTGGGCCCAAGTGGCGGACTTTTCGTCAGCAGCTTCATGAAGCCGCTACACCATCAGGACTTGGTCAAGTAAATCTTATTTATTGGTTTTTTAGAGGAAAACTAAGAGAAGAAAGAATATTTGAGCTAGCTTATCATTGTATGACCTATTCCAGCTGATTGTGCCTAATATTCATTTACATTATGGCATTGTAAGAATGAAGCAACAAAATAATTTTTATGGTGGTTAATTTAAACATAACAAAAGGTTTGCCATTCAGCGTTATTCACAGCTATAGTTTAGTGATGTTAACCTAGGTTTATAATCTTGTTCAACCATCATCCATTACCAATCTCTTCTATTATTGTTAACCAAAGCTTAGTGTTCCCTAAGCATTAAACTAAACTCTCTTTCCTCTTTCCTCCCTCCTACCCTGGTAACCACTAATAAATTTTTATTTATTGTCTAGTATAGTTCTTTCATGTAAATCAGACCATATAGATTTATCCCTTTGTGCTTGACTTATTTCACTCAGCAATATGTTTTCACAATTTATCCATGTTGTAGCATGTGTTGCTCAATGAGACACCACTTGGCCCTGCACCATCCTCACAATTGTTATATTGGAGCCCTTTGTTGCAGCCACTGTGTCAATCCATCTGGTCACAGGTCTTCCTCTTTTTCGCCAACTCACTACTTTATCAAGCATGATGTCCTTTTCCAGGGACTAGTCTCTCCTGATAACATGTTCATATTACATGAAACGAAGTAACACCATCCTTGCTTTTAAGGAGCATTCTGGCTGTACTTCTTCCAAGACAGATTTGTTTGTTCATTCGGCAGCTGGTGGTACTTTCAATGTTCTTTGCCAGTTCCCTAATTTAAATGCATCGATCATAACTGTATGGTAATATTCCATTGTATATATATACACCACATCTTATTTTTTTAGTCATTTGCTGTGGTACACAGAGACAGTGATACATGAATGCTAAGGCAATATCTTAATGAATTCTGGCAATATCTTGCACTGCTGGGAGTATAGCAATAGGGTCATATTATTAATTTAGAGAGAACCTTCATGGAAGGATGCCTGGAAAGATTCAGACACTGAGGCCTTGATGGATTATTAGCATATTATTCAAGCTCTATGGGGTCAGGACCCAAAATAAATTAAATTAAATCTAAGAGAAACAAGGCTGTGACCAAATAAAAATTTTAATAAAATGTAAAAATACACCCCATAGCTGTGGTCATGATCTCTCTGGTGGCAACAAATATAATGTGCTATCAGATGCCTTGTTGCTATGGCGCTTGCAGATATGAGAAGAGTTGGTGAAAGGTGGAGGTTGAAGGGCTAATAGACTTACATCTTTATTTGCAAAATGGTTGTAATGAATGTGTTTCAGAGATAAGCCATAATCTCGTGCACAATAGGTAGTCTCTGTGTGTGGAATGATATAAATTATGTAGAGTATTAAAATTACATGGAGGCAGTCCCTTGATAGTGTGACTTTGTGCCTGCTGGATCATGTTGTAGCATAGATTTCCATTCGAATCCCTATAGAAGGAGGCAGGCAAAAGAGAATGGGAATTGTCAGCTTCATTAAGGATAGAACATGTATTGATATAATTTCCTTTCCCCCTGGGGAAATAGAACTATTGACAGTTTATTTTCTAGCTGAAATGTCCAGAGTGGGAGCTCTGACCTTTTTTCTCTCCACTGATTTCCCTACCTCTGTGTGTCTGAGTAAAGGATGTCTTGGCTTCTGTTGCTTTTCAGAACAATAGTTATTCAGACTGCCTCTGGTAAACTGGGGCAGAAAACAAAACAAACAAACAAGCAAACAAACAAAGAACCCCCCCCCCCAGAACTAGAAGCAATATTTTAATTTGTGGAAGTTCATAATGATGAGCCTATTTTGTGAAACAGTACTTGGCTATACCAAACTTCTTTTGAGGACAATGTTCTTGGGATGAAAACAAGCCTTTTGCAGAGCCTTCTGCCATAGGGTAGTGGGTTTCCAGGGCCTGGGATCAGATAGTTCTCAGTTTAAGTTCAGGCTTCAACACTTATTAGCATTTTGTTCTTGAGTGAGCATTTATTATTTATTTTTAAAGTAAGCTTTTTTTTTTCCATTAGAAAATTACAGGGAATTTAGAAAACACAGAAAGTTACAAAGAAGAAAAGCATATTCACGTATGAGATGAGCATTTTCTCATATTGTTAAATATTCCTTGAAAGCATAATTTCATATATTTATAAGGCATTGGATTCAACCATTCACGTATATTTGAATATTGAGGGTGTGTTTTAATTATACTGTGTATGAGGGAGCTCAGAGCGAGCTCAGAAAGAGAAGGTCTGTCAAAGATACAGGTCAGACTCCCATCGTTATTTATTTATTATTTATTTTTGAATGCTTGTGTTTACTGCCTTTTTTTTTTAGTTTGTGATAATCTTTTAAAAAATATTATTTTATTGGGGGCTCATATAGCTCTTATCACAATCCATACGTCCATTCATTGGGTCAAACACATATGTACATATGTTGCCATCATCATTTTCAAAATATTTTCTTTCTACTTGAGCCCTTGGTATCAGTTCCTCATTTCTCCCACCCCCCACCCTTCCTCCTCCATGAACCCTTGATAATTTATAAATTATTATTATTTTTCATGTCTTACACTGACTGATATCTCCCTTCACCCACTTTTCTGTTGTCTATCCACCTGGTAGGGGGTTATATGTAGATCCCCCCACCTTCCACTTCCCCTCCTGGTGTTGCTAATCTCATTATTGGCCCTGAGGGGTTTATCTGTCCTGGATTTCCTGTGTTTTCAGCTCTTATATGTACTCGTGTACATGCTCTGGTCTAGCTGGATTTGTAAGGTAGAATTGGGTCATGATAGTGGGAGGGAGGAAACATTAAAGAACCAGAGGAAAATTGTATGTTTCATTGGTTTTATACTGCACCTTGACTGGCTTGTTCTCTTCCTTGTGACCCTTCTGTAAGGGGATGTCCAATTGTCTACAGATGGGATTTTGGTCTCTAATCCACACTCCCTTTCATTCACATTGATATGAATTTTTCTTCTGGGTCTTAGATGCCTGATAGCTGATCCCATTGACACCTCATGATGACACAGGCTGGTGTGCTTCTTCCATGTAGGCTTTGTGGTCACTTGTTTATCTTCAAGGCTTTAAAACTCCAGATGCTATATCTTTTGATAGCTGGGCACCATCAGCTTTCTT